CATCTTGCCAGGTGCTTCCCTGCCTGGAGGTGCAGGCAGACTGCACGAGAGGTGTGAGCCCTCCTCGGCCAGGGTCCACCAGCACTACACTACTGGTGTTTCTGGTGGGGTCAGGTCCTCTCTTGTCCCGAGCCAGCAGTAGCAGCCCCTTTCCGCAGACCTGACCTGTGCAGGAACGGGAGGTTGATGCTGCTCCCCACCAGCTCCCTGTCCTTCCTCTAGCTGAACATCACGATCAGGAGAGCACATGATAGCAGCTTCCTTGAATTCAAGCAGGTGTTGGTGAATAAGTCCGTCACTCAATACACGCCACCTCATCAGGCACCTGGAAGCAAATACAGAGTGACATTGCAGGGCCTCACAGCAACTGGAGCTGGGGCTGCGTCACTGCTGGAATTTCAAAGCTACATCTCAGGTAAAGGTTGTTCTGCCCTGTGTCTGGCCGAGATAGCCTCCCTGGGAGTGAACACTGAGCCTAGAGCAGCTTCCAGAGCTACGTGTGCACCCACCCCCTCCCCACCAAGACAGAGGCAGGGAGTGTGGGTACCCCGAGAGCCTGACTCAGCAGCAGCTGCCATGGAGCTGGGTGAGTCCTGCTTTGAGAGGGCGCATCACCTCGTCCCCAGAGCAGCTGCATCGCTTCAGCCCCTGTTTGCGCACGTGAGAGCGGAGCTGGCTCCTCTACTCTTCTGCTAAAGAAGGTGATGCCCATTCCTGCGTTCAAGTGCACGGAGGGCTCAAGGTCAGGCAGCATGAGGGCTGCTGAGCGCGGGTCTGTGAGTTCTCTTGCTGTGCGCAGCTTGGTTGAGCTGGCTTCCAGACCCTCCAGTTGTGTATGGGAGACAGGGCAAGTACCTGTGCTCCACAGCCTCCCTCTCTCTGCCCTGCCCAGTGTATGTGAAGGTAAGGAAGACTGTGCCTCCTTGCCTGTACCTGCAGCAGCTAGTACAGCAAAGTGTGGACTCTCATGCCTACAGATAGGTGTGCAGCCCAGTGCTCAGGGGAGGTGGGCAGGGAACTTCCCTATTCAATGCCTGAACTGTCACTGTCTGTGCCTGGAAAGCAGCGTGCTGGCTTACTGCTTGCACCTCAGCGCAGGCAAGGGTGTATCAGAGATGGGGAAAGTCCCTGTGCTCCAGAGGCTCCCTCCCGCTGCCCTGCCCAGCAGACATGAGGGCAAGGAAAGGTTGTCCCTCTCTGTCTGTCCCTGCAGACATTGCTGGTGCATGATCCAGACTGCGGCACACACTCCTGTCTGTTTGTTAGTTGCAGGGCAGCCTCTGGGTCTGTGGCCCGGGTCGGCAGTCACGGCGGTGGTTGTGCTTTCGGTGCTGGTCCTCTTGTCTGCGGGGATCCTGTGGTTTGTGCTGTCCAGGTGAGTAGGCAGGAGACTTGGAGTCATTGCTCTGCCTCAGGCCATGCTGTGCTATGGGGTGGCCGGGGACGGAGAGGGGATTCCTCCTGCTGCTCCCACCCTTCTCTGGCCACCGAGGATGCAACTTGGTGGTCCCACCATGGCTCAGCTGTAGGTGTCCCAGCTGGGGCTCATAAGCATCTTCCTCAAGGCTGGGGCAGGGACTGTGTGTGCTAAGGGACCCCATCCCCTGTTGCTGTTGCTGCCACGACTGCTGTCCCTCTGAGGTGCTTGTGAGACACCCAAAGGGAAGATGTGCAGAACCCTTCATCCCTCTGTAACTGACTTCAGCAATGCCCTGGGCCAAGTTAGCCTCTCCCCCGACTCAGAACTGCCCTTTGCCTCCTCAGGAAAAGGAAGACCTCGCCCAGCAAAGCCGAGGAGGACCATTACACAGGTAGGGTCCATATCACAGAGCTGCCATGGGAGCTGGGAGGGGAGCAGGTTTATTGCAGGAGAGCCCATTGCCATCATGGGGTGGCTACAGGCAGCCCAGCTAGCTCTGGCTGCCCCGCCCGACCCG